AATGCCTGATTCGAAAGTATCAACATGTCCGCCAGCGATACACAGCTCGGTCTCGAGGTGCCTTCCTTCATCATATTAAAGTTGTGCACATGCACGAGGTGTCTCAGGTAACGGGTCTGCGACAAGCCCTGCATGCACCCCAGGTGCTCCACTTGCACCCTGACCCTGATGCCGCAGCACACCTGCGTATCTGTGATAAGTTGTTGCCGCCAACTCGCGTCCAATTCTCTAATTTCACGGAAGTTGCGCTCAGCGTCACACCTGGGATCTCCCTGCCCGACCCCTCAGACTGTCAATGTCGGAAAGTGTTTCCTGACTGCTCACACTTAGTCGACGGCCATGTTGTTACAGCCGACTGCGATATCATTCCTGATRATCGCCTCCGCGACTTGTTCCATGAAGGCTCGAAGTATCGTCTTAATGGACAAATCGCTGATGTGCTTCAGGCTGTTAAGAGTCGGCCTTGACGAGTCTATTGCTAAATACCTGAGGTCGGTCTCCGAGCAGCTTCGGCCGGCCGCTCTGAGCAAATTGCAGCAGTGGCGCTCAGCTGTTCTCACACGTTGCGAAAGCAACGTCTCATCCCCCCATATTACTACACGACAACCGCACTCTCTTCACTCAGTGCACAGGGCTTTGAGACACCTTCAACAACACTTTGCTATTGTTCCTGTCGACAAGACCTCACATAACTTAGCAATCTGTTATAAAAATTGGTACCTGTCTCATATATCTGGTCATTTGGACAGCCCTACCTATGATGTGCCTCTCGAGTCTGTCGCAGATATTCTGGAACATCACTCGTTCTGGAATCATCGGTGGGGATATACACACAAAGACACGCTGCCATATCTGTACTATGCACTTAAATTGCACAAATCGCCCCCTGGGGTTCGCAGTATTGTCGGCGTCACAGAGCGGAATAATCTCTCCCTGCCGCAACGATCTCGATCAACTGCGCCATCTGTTCATGCAGTCCACCATCGACCTCTCCACAAACCCTTGGCCAGTACTACCGTCACTTCTGCCCGCCTCAACGTTGCACTACAAGGAGTCATTGAAACTCTCCGTGAGAAGGATAATGTGTTGTATCAGCAAAGCGGTGTGAGACCGTGCTGGATCGTGCAAAGCGCTGAGGAGGTGATGCTTGATCTCAAACGTAACTCCTCTTCTCTTGGTGACCATGCTCCTCACACTGTTGATTTCACAACTATGTATACCAATTTTCCTCATGACCGTATTTGTCATAATGTTTCAAAAGCGGTCGAGGAAGCCTATACATATGCCTTACAACAACACATACAGGGGCGCACACATCCTCCTACCCTTAACATGATTGTTAAAGGGCCCCGTCAAGGGGAGTGGACGGTTGATACCGGACCAAACACCTTGACCGTTTCCCAAATTCTTGAACATCTCCATTTCATTGTCACAAACACTTATCTTTATGCAGCGGACGGCACCTTGCGACATCAGTTGATTGGCTTCTCGATGGGGACTAATTCTGGTCCGGAGATAGCTAATTTGGCATTGTATTGGGATGAGGCTCGATTTGTTGATGACCTCCAGCGGCGTGATCTTCGCACAGCTCAACGGTATGCATTCACATACCGCTTGATCGATGATGTTCTCTCATGGGGACATCTGCCACCACCGTCAGAGCACTATGGCCTCGAATGGAAGGAGATCACATCGCCTGATGGCTCTTGCACATTCTTGGGTGCACGCCTCCAAGTCCGCCCTGACGGCTCCCTGCGTATGAGTGTCTTTGACAAAGCAGCTGAATGGAATTTCCCTGTTATTCGTTATCCTAGTGCTACATCTAACGTCCCTGCACACCAGCCGGCGAGAGTGTTTACAGGCCAGCTTACTAGGTTTGAGTATGTTTGCAACAACTGGTATGATTTCAAAACTGCAGCAGCGATGCTCACACGCCGCATGCTTCTTTGCGGGCACTCTCCAACAACGCTTGCGAAAGGATGGACTTCCTATATTCGTAAACGTCAACACAGGTACCCTGCGCATGTGACAGCCCCTTCATCATTATCGGCGCCTGTCACACCTATCACAGCCTGCTTCGATGGTCTATTCATCACCCGCTTTCTCGGGTATCTACACACTCTCCTCGGACTACACCTGTCACAGCCCCTTCCTCATTATCGGCGCCTGTCACACCTATCACAGCCTCTTCTTCATTACCTGCGTCTGCCGCACCTGCGTCCTCATCAGTCTTAGTAACCCCTTCCATGCCGTTTGTGACCCTGGCTGCCCCTTTTCGGTTCGCAGCCTCTTCCTCATCGGCCTTGGTTGCTTCTACGATTGATTCAGAGGGAGCAACTCGACCCGCACCTGCTGTGTCGCCCTTGGTCCATGTGTGTTCCTCCATGGCATCCGTGGCCACCGCAGCCATTGTGTCGCCCTTGGTCTCGGCGTGTTCCTCCATAGCATCCGTGACCACCGCATCTGTTGTGTCGCCCTTGGTCTCGGTG